AAATGATGTTGCCCGACACATTTGGTTTCGCAGATTCCCGTCAAAAAGCGAATTTTTTTCACTCCACAGTTCTGATACCGATTCGTCAAATGATTGAATCCTACATAATAAAGTGTCAATCTAAAATTCTCTCGACAAAGGAAGGTTTACGATGCACCTCCCTGCACGACCATCACGCTGGTGTGGATCCCCAGCGTGATGGTCGTGCTTGGTCGCTGAAGGGAGGTGGGGTTATTTCGAAAGAAAAGTTTGAAACCGAGCTCTGAGAAGAGACTGTTGATTTTTCTCGGTTTTCTTATTCCGCGTGCCCATATGTTCCCCATCCCCTCCACCCATTCAGAGATACGGCAAGTTTTCGGGGAGTGGAGGTGGGAGGAACTGGAGGAACTGGAGAATGCTTGGAAAAACAGCTGCGGAAAATAGGTAGGAAGTTGGGAAAATTTAGATTTATTTATCAGATTGTATTTGGGATGGGACGGGGAAGGGGGTAAGGGGGTGTACCAGAGGAGGAAGTTCCGAGGAGGAGGTCGTATTCCGCAAAAAGTCTCCCCAACGGCAGACCGTGCACACTGAGGAACAAGGAACTTGATTAAAGAGATTACAAGTAAAGGATCCGCAACACACCTTATACAACCGGCTACCTCGTCCGGTATAGCCACTTTGACGAAGGCGTCAGATGCGCATGAAGGCGAAGGTGAGCAGAACTGACGGGAAAGATCCTGAAAAATTATGAAAAATAAAAAAAATGAAATAAAAATAAAAATATAAAAATAAAAGAAATCGCGTAATTGGAGCCGAGGAAAAAACAAATACATAAAAGAAGACTACTGTAAGAAGTACACTGAAAAGAAGGCAAAATCACGGTGAAGGCATCATAAAGAACTGAAAAAGAAGGCACAATTCACTGCAAAAACGAACCATTACTTACCATACTAGCCACCATGTCTTCATCCTTTTCGGCCAATTTCTTGATAGCATCGATACTCTTCAGTATATGAATGGCCGAGAATAGCGCCGTTAAGTAATAGGCAGCATCGCCCTTAAAAATCATGGATCGTTATCAAAACATCACAGTCTAGTCACGATAAATATTCACTGAGTAATGACCTTGGTGATCATTTGTTGAGGGAGTAATTCCCACATGTACCACGCTTCAACCTCACATCCAACAGTCGACGATCGTGCAAGGATGTAAACCAACCATCTGACCAGATCTAAACAGGAAGTAGAAGCCAGTGAGAAAACAATAGCCATGAACTTTTTTAGGGTTTTTCAACAATTTTACTCACCAAACTTGAGCACTGAGTAAGCTAACTCCTGAAGAACGGCTCCACATCTAGTTGTTCTATTACACTTCAAGATAGCAAGCTCATGTCAATAGGAGGGAATCCTCAACGGTTGACATGTCTGGGAGAGCGAAATGGACAGTCGTAAGCGCAGGATTCAGCTTGGTCACTGCGGCTGCGACCTTCTAATGAGGTAGGTGGAAAGCTGGGGTTATGAAAGGCCCGAGTGCGAGAGAAAGTATGAGATGACAGTCTCCTTCCTGCTCCTTCCACCGGAGCTCTTCCTTGTGTTTGTGCCCATATAGTAAGATTAGGAATTATAGGCGAGAACACTGCCTTTGTTGCATCGCCAACAGAGTGCCAAACTCCTTATCCACCATCTAATATGCCCGCTT